GAATCCATTGAAATGTGGTGAGATATTATGTTAGTTCTTATTGTAGATTAAATATGTGGCAGCTGACAGTGAGTCTCATATAAAGAGCCCAATACTTAAATACTTTAATACTTTATGTTACAAATCACCGAAGGTCATCTTCATTCATAATCAATTTACAGAGCTTCTACAGCGACCAGCAGTTCATAGTGACCGAGTGGCCCATGCAGAATACTATTGTGGATCTGTGGCGACTTCTGTACGACTCTCAAATTCCAACGCTTGTGATATTGGACCACATGGACTCCAGGTTTGACCGTTGGGTAAGTGCGGTATGAAACAGGGTTTCCATAGTAACTGCAAATAAAACCATCGGTTGAGGTATATGGTATTGATAAATGACTGCCTACTCAGTTTCGTGGCCATCTAGAAAAGGACATGGTTGAAAGAAGCAACTCACCCACACCACACATATTTCAAAGTATGACTATGGCTTAAAACTGAGTATCATCATCATCATGCTTGAAGACGGTGAAAGACCATGAAAGAATGCCACTGATTGTTATTGTAGAGATACCCACATTTCTGGCCTGGTTTCCCGGAAACTGAAGTGCACGATGGACTCCAAGTGACGCTAACTGAGACCAGGCGGTACCCAAACATCACGACGAAAACATTCAATATAAGAAAGGTACACATATAACGACATTTTGTTATTTATTCTTCCCTCTCTCTCTCTCTCTCTCTCTCTCTCTCTCTCTCTCTCTCTCTCTCTCTGTGTGTGTGTGTGTGTGTTTGTGTGTGTGTTATTTTTCTCTTTGATAAAAAATGATGAGAGAAACATAGCAGAAGGAAATAAAGAAAATTGCTGTGATAAGTCAGTTTATTTTCTTAAGTAATGTTCCTATATCACTTAGAGGTTCGATTAATCACAATTATAATAAATTCCCTTGCAGAACGTGATCCGCAGCTCACACAAATGGGCACAGTCGGGAAAGGTGAGATGTCATTCAAATGATGTGCTAAGTTTATACATTTTTCGAACAATTTCGATTATAGTGACCGTGTGCTAACTGAGCCGGTTTGTCAGAGTGCCGCTACCCATCCATGTGACGTTCCAGTATAACTGTATGTACTCTTACCTACAATACTCGGCATGCTGACAAAAGCATTTTCAAATGTTAGTGAGTATTTTTTCCCCAAAATCTGTCATGTTTGATGCGCTTTATTTATCCAAACAATTGCTATATTTCCAGTACGATATGCAAGCAACTAGAGCACTTTTGAAAAAAATATTTGCAGTCGAGTCCGCCACTCGACACGCACATACAGTGCGCATGTTCCAGCTGAACTATTGGCCGCGTAAGGCAAAGGAAGAGATGGGATCGATTTTGATGCTAAATAATCTCGTAGAGGAATGGCTGCACAAGCTAGAGACTGATCAAGGAATCACTCATGCACCTGTTTGTATTATGTCTAAGTAAGTATATACTCTCAATTCAGCTCTGTAAATATACAGTAATGCTTGTCCCATGAAGTGTAAATATAAATATGAAGTATCTTAACACATGTTTATGGTAACTCATAGTTCGTTAAATAAATGAAGGAGTCAATTAAAAGATAGCATACATCAACCTCTGAACCTTTGCTGCAGGAATCTTATCCCTTATTGTTTGTTTAAAAAGAGATGAAAAAAGAAAACTGTAAATAATAAATCCCATCGTGCCCAGTAATCTTAATTATCATATATCTTTCAGAGACGGTGTGGAGCGCTGTGGTGTCTTCTGCACTGTCAACATTGCACTGAATCAGTTGGCGGAGGAAGACAAAGTGGACATATTTTCTACGGTCAAATTGGTAAAAGCAAACCGTCCAGAGCTAGTGAAAGATGAAGTAGGGCTTGTTTTTTTTATTATTTTTAAATTAAAATTCAAGCATACAGTTAGAGACAGTTGTTATACAAACATACACTGTACTTACCTAAACACACACACACACACACACACCAGCACATATATATTTCATTGGCAGAAAGATTTAGCAATTATTTTCACCTTCTTCACTCTTCCCCTCAACGCTAATTTTGTTTTTCAATTTTTTTTTTTTTTTTTTTTTTGGGGGGGGGGGGGAGATTGCAGAACTGAGCACATTAATGTACATTTTAATTCGCAAAATGGAAGTCGGACCTTCGGCCCCACCACCTTGCCCCCTATAGTACAATACTTGGTGGAAGGACAAAATTGTTCTCAAATGACCCAGTAAATATATATATTTGATAAATATATAAAATATATACTTGATTAATATATATTAGATAAAATAGACACAACAAAAATACAGGCTTCAGTCAATGCATGCAGAGGTTTGCTCTTATTTAGCATTTTAATGTTGATTGAAAGTCAACATATGACATAAAGAGAGTTACGCAAGATGAAACTGATTTGCCCTACATTAAAATAAATCTGTTTTATTTTTCCAGAGAGAATATCTTCTATGTTACGAATTAGTCAAGTTGGCCGAGCAGCAGAGATGGGGTGCCAGAGATACGGCCACGGTGCCTGCTATGAACGCTCTAGCAGGAACACCTAGCACGTTGCCCCTATCAGGTACACCTAGCACGTTGCCCCTATCAAACGGCATTGGTGTCGGTCATAGAACAGGTGGAATTACAACAAGCCATGGTTTACAGCATGAAACGTCAGAATCAGTAATATGACTATAAGTTTTATACATGTACATTTTTAATTAAAATTATGTGTCTTCATACCATTCATGTTATCAGAAGCTCAAAAGAATTGCCTTCATCTTAACAATTGTATGGAATGAACATTAAATACTGTGTAGAAAACCCTATACATCTGTGGATATATCATGCAGGGTTTTTATTCATTGAACATAATGTACATTGATCATTTTACATCATTATTTTACAGTGTACACTTACCAGTACTTAAATAAATATAATTTGCAATATACATGTGCTTTACAACAACAACAATATATATATTCTCCTAGCAAAAAAACAAAATGTCACATTTTACGCCTTGCGTTAAGTGATGCAGAAAATCATCATGAACCAACGTTCTTTATTCAACTTCTAAATGGGCAAATCACAAAAAATTTGCTGATTGTACAAGCAATAAATAAACTCATCACAGTAAAAAAATATCAAAGCCACTTTTCAGTATTTTGTACAGTATCTTGTGGATTGAGGACGCGTCTGGGCGTGGAGTCAAAAAGTTCTGTAACGTTTGCGCAGTAATGGCGTTCCACATACGGTGCAAAGATGGCACGAGGTAATTTTTGTTTGAAGGGATATCCCTCTGTTGCTACGAATTATGTGGGGTGCGTTCTGTCGACCAGAGGCAGAAAATTGGGGATATACTTCTTACCAGCTGTTTTCCAAACCCTTGCACGTCCATGAAATCTGGCAACGTGTCAATGTCCAGTTACTGGCTGGTGTCCATTCCAGAGTTCCAGTATACCATCTGACTTGACGTGGACGGTTTTTGGCAGTGATCACTGGTCTCCTAACAGAAACTCAGGTGCATGGGAGTTTTGCCATAATTGTCACAATTGATTGACAGTTATATAAACAAACTTCAATCATAACATTGATAGTGTAGGGCGTAGGGAGAGGTGTAGGGCAGTTACTACGTCGAAAGATGTGTTATCCCCAGAAGAATTCATGTGAGTGGGGAAAAGGATAAATCTTTTTCTTTTTCAGAAATTAAACATGTCCATTCGCCGTAGTTTGCAACTCAGCTGCTGGGATTATGTGATGGGAAGGGGTTCCTGTCAGTAGGCCCACTTCCATGTACTTTTGTACCATTTAATAGCCAGTTATCATTAAGCTCCTCGGTACTGCCATGGATCACCAGTTATTTCAAGCGGTCAATATTTTTACATATGCGTATAAAGTTTCAACACATATTATGCATTGCATGATTATTTCACATACAACATTGTATTTAATCTTATAAAACGAATGAAATTTCATTTGTCATCTACTAGTAGTGATCACATATACTGAAAACAACTTTTCGTACGCGATAATAATCTGGCGCATGTCCCGTCTCAACATGATTGTGCTGTCTACCGCAGAATTAATGGAAATGTGCTAGGTGTGACAAATAGCTTTCCAGGTACTAAAGGTTACAAACCAGTATTAAAAATCCCATTCACTTCCATTGTAACGTTTAATTCTCTTAAAAATATTTCCCATGCATCAACAAACACAACACTTCAGGTTTAAATACTTCTACTCAAGGCCTAAACAATATTAAAAAATCAGGGTACATTAATGGCATAGCTTGCCAGTGACATGAGATGACCCGTAAGGTGCTGCCGCCAGTCAGCCAAAATAAGCACTAAAATGCAGCAGAGGGGAGGGCATGTAAAACTGGCCCCAGGCAGTAAAATTTTACTCTGATATGAAAAATAACACATCAAATTAAAGGTAAATGAACAAATTTATTTCCAAAATTTATTTCAAAATTTTCAAATGATCCAAAATTGAAAAATAAACTCATTTTTCTCTTATATGCAAATCTTCTTGATTCAAACTTGCTAAACAAGGAAGGCCGGAAATGCCGTATAACCTAAATGGATTTTAGCCAAACATTTCATTTATTTCACTAAAGGATTTTGTTGAAGGGCATTTAATGCACGTCTCTTGGGAATTTTGTTCTCATTAGCTGATACGAATAGATAATTTTTCTATACAATTGTAGTATTAAGTTCACATATTATTATGACCAAAGAAGTAGAGTTTTATGTCTGCGCACATCATAATGAAAAAAAAATTGATACCGTTGCACTAGGGTTGAAATAATCATTATTGTAATGAATGCCATCATTATTCTGATTCAAGAAAAAACAAACAAGGAAATATTATTTGTTGAGAATGTCCATATGAGGTCGTCATTGATCAAGGAATAGCACCCCCACCCCCCACCCCCCAACATACATACGTTTTTCTGAAATCAAAATAAGGATGACGTTCATAATTAAAACAATAATTATACACATATACTGAAAAGTCTTTAAGAGCAATGAACTTAATCTTTGACTCCCACCTTCCTTTTTATACCCGTTTGCGTAATGATACTTGACAGTAAAGTCCAGTCACAGTGCACGATTCAATAAAGCAATTGTTGACATTTTTTTACTTTTATAGTAAACGTCCTTTTTTAATATGCTTTTTTTTTCTTTTCTATATATTCCCTAACTCCTTTTGAGTAGTATATATCTATGTAGTGACATTATATTGTTTAATTCTTTATGCATTTTGATATCGTTATCCCCCTGATCACATACTAGGTAGAGAAAATTAACTGGTTATAAAAGGTTAACAGAGATTTTCAAGAGTTCGGTTATGACGGTCTAAATCTGATATTTGAATTTAATCGTCTTCGTGCTAAGAACCGGGCTATACCCATTGATTTGAATGAATGTTGTTAAAAAGTATTGAGTTGAACTATTTCCAGAAATTAAGGTCATATTTAGGGACCGGTCATTATTTAAGGCGGAAGGGAGTGGATGGAGGAGAAAATGGGGGGCCCTGAAAATTTAAAGCAAAAATTAGGGGGGAGGGACTTGAAATTAGAAAATAACGCGTAAGGGGGTCTTGAGGAAAGTTATATTTGCTATAGATATGAATTCAAGTTGTTTCATCTTTCAATGTCGTTTTCCTTACATTTCTATGAAAATTTGCCATAATAATGAAATGTTTTACACCTTCTCATCATGTGCAATATTAAAAAATGATACAAGCCAGGATTTTCCCACCAAAACTCATGTTTAACAGATTTTCTGGGTTAACAGCTATTTTCCCCCATTTACCAACGTTTAATCTTCCTTTTCTGACACTCGCCCTAACTCCGTTACAATTTCTGGGAAAAAGCAAAAATCCTCGCTTTTTCAAAACAGCTGGCTGCCAAGGTTGACTAGGGAACGGTGAATATGGTTACTTTTTGCGGTATTGATTAAGGCTATCTACCTGTCAATTTATGTTTTCAAACTTTAAAGTGTCTTCAGGTAAGATAATTTCAACAAGATACTCTTAAACTGTTTTCAAAATCCTGGCTTATGTCCTTTTAGGCACCATGTGGTAAGTTTACCATTGCTTTGTTTCAATATATATATTTTTATTATTTACATACCATTGTTCAGAAAAAGTTTCGTAGCTCACTAAATATATATGTGTGTAAAATATCATCCAATCTTGCCCGATTAAATTTCATTATATCTTTCGACTTTCTTTTCATGCTTCTAGTTTTGTTAATAAGAATGAATGAAATAAAATCTGTAGTATTCATTATCTGCATTTAAATCCTGTCTTATTACAGAGTGCCTACATTGAAGAGAAAAATCAACAATGTTTGCAAGCGAAAGTTTTTTGTAAAACCATTCAATTTGTACAGAATTTTTTTCTTTTAAGTACGCCTACATATGTAAAGATGATACCCTGTTATTGTATGTATTGTATGTGATACCGCATAAAACGAGCTTACATCTGGTAGTTTAGAAACAGAAGAAGCCAAACAAGGGTACACAATGTATGAACATAAAAATATTGATGTGCTTAATCCTCATCTCTGCTTTTATCTCCATTCGCCTTTATATGTCAATGTTCTAGCAATCATTCTGTAATGTTCACAATTTAATCGTTATATTTCATTTTTATCCATATGTTGAAAATCAAATATTCAGCTTAATCGTAACTGACATAAAACTGTATGACATATAAAATGATAATCATGGAATTAAATTGGTTTGCACATTTATTCGATCGTTCCTCCATGAAAAACTGGTGCACTACTTATTGGCAGGCTCCCAAATATGCCATCTGTTTCTTCGAGCTGATGAGACCCTACCGGTACGATATAGTGTTTTCAAACAACACCTTAACACCGGCCTTAAGATTGAGAAAGGAATCATTTGTTTAAAATTTATGAGCACTACTTTTGTCTTACCTGGTTTAACAATTCGTATCAGTTCTGCCAACCCACCTCCGTGCACGTGTCCGCATCCTACAGCTCCAGACATAATGACCGCGTCGTATGTGTCTGAGATAGAAAAATGAAAAAAAAAATTAAAAGAGATCTGTAATCACTGGTCCAGTCCAAATCCAATTTCATAATATAATGTCTCAGTCCAAAACTTAAAATATAAGATAATAAGGCTATCACTTATATTATGCATGCATTTTTTATGTTTGTCAGTGCCATAGTTGTATGCACGTGTAACAGGGGCAGAGTTGAAACGGCCAGTGACTCGACAAAAGATAAACGTGTTTTCCTAGCTGTGTGAGGCCCTGTAGATCTCTAATTGCAGTATGTACTAAAAAGTCCACTCGTGAATCTATGCATATGTCCCTTTTTTGTATGTTTATCGCGTCCTGCGACGCTTAATCCCTTTTAAAGTCAAACTGGTGCTTTCTGAAAGGGACGCGGTGCAAACGGCAACTTATGCTGCATGGGGTCATCTGGGCATTTTCTAAATCTCTTGTTGTCCTTTAAGTTCGTGCATCAATTAAAAGGCCTACAAAGTCCAGTACAAATAATTTGTCAATTTTCATTCATCAAACTGGGTCAAAAGTTAAATTGTTTGCGTTAATTTTATTCAAGTACACCAAAACGTATCCCTGTTCTAGATCTGTGTGTTGGACTGCTGTATTAGAATTCCCATTTTGATATTTGTGACGCAAAGTGCAGAAAACTAAAATATAAACTGTATAATTTATAAAAAAAATAAAATAAGATAATCCGATTATTTGGTAAGATATCAAAATGCATTATTGAACACATGGAACTTTAGGCGTGCCCTGTGTACCGTAGTGCAACGTACCATCCGAAATGTCCAATCTATGAGAACCAATTATAGAACACATCGTTTTCTTATAGATGCCTTTCTGTTTTGCCTGCTCAAGCATTTCGCTTGATCCGTCCAGGCCGTGGAGGTTGTGGTAACCACGTCTGAAAAGCTAGAAGAAGCAAAACAGAAACAGATAAGAAGTTACTGTGCTAGCAGGATCAATCTATCTCAGGTGGGATTTTCGCCAAGGCGCAGTCAATGTAATTGTCTGGCACGCCCCCTCGCAAAGCAAGATGGCTTTACCCAAGTACTTTAAGTTACATGCCATATTGATGGAATACAGAAAGTTGCTGATTGTACGTGTACGTTGGAAAGAAGTGGAGGCGTACGTGTTAAGCGAGTTAATCTGATTGCATTTAGCAAGAGTCCCCGCGGAGTTGGATTGATCTTCGTGGAACGATAGTTTCACTGGGATAGAGTCCTTAGCCTTTTCAAAATAATAATAAGAAAGAAAGAAAGAAAATAAAATAAAAATAAAAACGAAGTAATTTACAAAGATACATGTATTATCCCTATTGTTATTCGTTTAACTGTCGTCACCAAGTCTATGGAAGACAAAGATAACCTCATGAATTTAAAACACAGCATGCCACAAGTAACGTACCGTGTATCTGCCTCGTAGCACGTAAAACTGTGACCCTTTTGTATTGCCAAGGCTGTAAATCCACTGTGCTTCATTTCTCCATTTGCTTATTTTACTTGCTTATTTTTCTGTCGGGTGGGGGGGATGAATATGTCTAAAACAACGGATGAAGGTAGTTTAGGTAGTTTTATATACAGCGCAGAGGGTTGGAGAATGGCCAGTCTTTGTCTCGTCTCGTTTTGTTGGTAGTGTATACTACGCCAAAGATGCACTTTTACTTTAGATGTAAAAAATTGAAAAATCAGTTAGTTAAGACGTGCACTCACTTCTAAGCCCGCCAAACCAGTTCCGCAGGCTGCGTCCAAAATTAATGCATCCTTTTTGTCTTTAAGCAGTATGTCGAGCTCGGAAGCGTTAATGCGGGGTGAGCAGCATACAAGATTTGCCATATCCTGAAATATAAAAATTAATGTACTTACATGTTTCAATTCCAATGACTAACACATCCCTCTTACTTCAGCTGATATCCTATTTTCTTTGACTTCATTCGCTTTGTATGCCTCTGTAACTGCACGTACTGTTGTAATTCATACTAGCAGTAACTCTAGTTCATCTGAAATTATCTTATCTCTCTTTTTTTGTGTACATTATCTGTTTCAAAATAAATATTTTGTGGCTTATTGTTATATCAGATTAAAAAACCATACCTTTTCGAAATCCTTTGCCCACGTCCCATACAATTTCTCTACCTTCTCATTTGTGATATCACGTTTCTTAAACTGATCCATTATTGGATGACTTTGCTCCACACGTTTAGCCATTCTTCCTACGCTGAACAATCGTGGACTTACTGTTAGATATTAATTCATTGCTACGAAATACGGCACAGCAGACCTTTAAATTAAACTGTTGTCCTAGTAAAAATGTATGGCGGTAGTGTGCCTATTTGGAAAGAACCCACAGTGATAAATTAAACTCAATTTTACCTGATCAGAAAGCTAATTGTTTTGAGATGACACACGCAATACCTGTGCATTACATGTAGGTCAATTAATTGCTGTGGCTTTCTTAATGAGAAAGCATAGCGCAGGATTTCAAACGACGGCGCATGCGCGAAAAGTGCGCTGCTTGAAATAACAAATTGATGAAATTGACAAAGCCTGCCGATATTATTGTGAGACTGAACACTACTCTCCAATGTGTCAGTAATTGTGTCAGTCCAAGCTTCGCTTATTGAATTGTTTTTTGACATTTTATTGGTGTCAAACACTTCAAATATCAGTATTTGTAATTATGATATTCCTATATATAAAAACAATCTCTTGATTAGCGTCATGGTGAAAAAAAAATTACATTTTGTGTAATTGTGTTATGACGTCTTCACTTTATGCGGCAATGGAATTTTAGTAGAGTTTGAGGTTATAATTGCGTTGCGTTTGCTAAGGCTTTGCTAAGGCAGGTGGGTGAAATCGCACTCGCAAATAGCGCGGAATCGCCATGCTCGAGCCCGCTCGCAACATAGCGAAGCTTTCGAGATTCGTGCCCGGGGCTAGTTGGCCCAGTTAGACACTTTTAGTCATGTAGAGCCAACTAGGAATAAGTTAAGAGTAACAAAACTGGTTTCAAAGTAAGCCCCATGAACTAAGCTACGTATGCAACGTCATTTTTTTAAAAATACAATCGCAGATGGCTCACCATATGACAGAAAACGCAGTGACGTCAGGGGGGGGGGGGGCACTTGCCCCG